CGATGATTAAAATAAAATCAATGTTAATAATATAACATATTTCATAAAGTATGAATCAGTTATAACAGAAAACAGATTGTGCAAATATAGATTATTATTACTATTACGTTTTATTTTATTCCTTTTAACTTCTAGAATAATTGCTGCATTTTATCTTTATGTATTATGCAACGATAAGAAATATTGTAATTTATTAATTTAAATTATATAATTTTTACAGATAATGATTTAAAATATTTTTACAGTAAATTATTATATTATTACTACTCATCTATCATTGCATAAAAGACAATCGCTTTTTAAAGAATTTCGACATTTTAATTTTTTCAGATATTCTATTTCTATCAAAATTTGACAATACATTGAAAAGTTAATAAACGATTTTTATATTAGTTCATATTAGAATAAGGTTTTTCTATACGTGTACTATAGAAAATTAATAAAAAATAGTTTATGATTGAAGGAAAACTTTTGGTTTAATAAAAATAATTTTTATTAAAATTTAATTATATCTAAATATATCTATACAAAATAATATTATATTATAAAATATCTAAAATGCTTGATGATATTTTAACATATATTTCTTAATAGATTTTTTCAAGTTTCACTTCAAATTGTAGAATAGAAATTAAAATATTTAATATGAAAGTTTCAAAGAAAGAGCTTAATTGTATCAAATTCATTGAGTTTTTTAACTATTGCCTATTTTCAAAACTAAAATCATAGTTGAATTTTAATATTACAAATATAATTGGACGCATTATTTTACTAATTGTAGATAAATATCTATTTTGTGTTAACAAACATTACAAAATTATTTAATAATTGTAATTTTATGGCAAAGAAAAATCTTGATTCCTATAGAGATATACATGATTTCTGGATGACAAAATAAAAATGCGATATTTTGTATTAATATGTATACGCATACCAATTAGAATGTCTAACTACAATTTTATTAAAAAAATGACATATTTTGTATGAGCATATATATGTAAAATATACACGTGTATTTTTTTATGACAAACTTTTAATTTAATTCATTCGTAATATAAATTATTACATCATTTTTATATAATATATCTAATTATTTTTTCATAAAGTTGAAAATAGTTTCTTATTTTTTATAATAAATGTTGTTTGCAATTATATTTAAGTTTTATATATTAAAAAAAATATATATTAATAGTGATTTAAATAATCAAAATCATTATGAAGGATTATATAATATTAAAGACCATTTATTTTAATTACGTTTTTATTATACTAGTTTATTTGTAGAATATTAAGTGTAAAATCTATAAATTATCATAAATTAATTTAGTTATACTATTACAATCCTTTCAAGTTTATTATTTTTATAATTCATAATTCATTATTATATATAATTTTGTAACTGTTATTTAATAATTTGTATTTTAATATAAATATTATTAAAATTCGATGTAATTTTTATTATTTTATGTTGCAAACATTTAGAATATTATTAAAGATGTACTTGTAAAGTATTTTGAAGTGATAGTCTTGAATCATTTGAATATGTATATGTATTTTAATAAATCGGATAAGCATAAAATGATATAATTAACCTTATTAGCCTTATTAAATAACTTACATTCTTTTCAGAAAAAACTGTCTCGTGTAATTTTTATTGGTAGTTATATATAATTGAAAAAATACAGGGTGGTTATTTAATTGTAATCATTCCTTCAATTTCAGTAAATTTAAATTATTGTAAAGCTTTTATTTTCAAGTGAAAAGTAATAACTTTTTTGAGTACACATTTTATCAATAAAGTGTGATTCCATCAGATTTCGTGCAAAAAATATCTATGTAAGTATTGTATTCTACCGAATTCTTTGTGGGATACTTCTGAATTGTTTAAGGCTCTATATAAGTTGAAAAAAGCTTTAGAAGGTAATATAAAGAAACTTAAATTAGGTAAATGTTAAAGTATATTTAAGATATGATTAAAAAAATATTTACTTACATGGTAACGCTGAGTGCGAGCTATGTCTAGGCAACAGAAAGCAATGACGAAGTACATGGAGAGATGCATTGTCAGTTCAAATAGAGAATTCTCAGATGAAGCATACGCGCTTCTAGGCACTTGGTCAGTTACTGACTGGACTCCGACGACAGGCTGTGGGAAAACTGTATTGACGACATAAAAGAGAGAGGGAAAGAAAGACAGAGAAAGAGCCTAAAAACTATTATCTATACTTGAAATTCAAATAACGTTTACCTTTAATGTGTTTTATCAACGATTTTGGTTGTGATTTTAATGTTTAGCCGTGAATACTTACTGAGATGTAAATTTAGAAATTTCCATTACTATTCCCGTCAGAGTTTCTATAAACTCACTCCTCACCTTACTAAATAATTCATAAAAACAACCATTTTTAAAATGCTTGAAAATATTTTTGAAGTTGTTTTGGTTGTTATTAATATGTATTTCTAATTATTATACCAAGAAAACTCGTTTCTTTGAATTTATTTATCTATAATATAAGTATTTTTCTTATTTTTGTATAGTTTATTGCACTTTTTTGTATCACATTAATTTAAAAGCGTTTTTAATTATCAAATTGAATACGAATGTATTAGTTTAATATTGTCATAATTAAAAATAAATTCTTTCACTTCCATTTTTCTTTAATATTATGTGTATGCTTAAAAATTTAATGTTAATTAACTACTGATATTTATATTCAATTGTTAAAGAACAATAATTTTGCATAATTTTTTATGATATATTTATGCTTATAAGATTATATGACAAAAATCAAAACAAAAAATAAATGTATTATTGAATATATAAAATCGTATAGAAAGTCAATAAATAGTATAATCAATTTATGATAAAAAATTTAAGTACTTAAATAGATGATATGTTATGTTTTAAAAAATTATACATCGTTAATAAGAAAATTTCAGCTTTAAAATTTGGTTTTAAATAATAAATTTCTTGCATAATATTTTTTCCAAAATTGAGAAGTACTGGTATTACTTATTTTGATTTGAATATAAATTTTACATAATATACAATATTTATTTTATAAATATATACAACATTTTTTATAATTAATAATAATATTTAGTTTTTAAATATTTCGAAAAATTTTAAAGATCTGAAGTTACAATTATTTAATTTAATAATTGTACTAATCTGAAATAAGTATTTAACATTTAAATGTTTAATACTAATAAATTTTAATTAGATCCATCTCTAAAAATTAAAAAAGAATTAATTACATTTAGTAATTATATCATGTATTATTAACATTAAATGATAATATCGTTACGCGCATAAAAGGTTAATATCATAATTTTAAACTCAGAATTTATATTTTATAATCTAAAATATTTTTTAATATGTAAATCGTAACTATTTATATATAGATTATAAATGTATACTTTATAAATGTAATTATCTATTCTAATAAAATATGCAGACATGTTTGTACGTGCAGCGTGAGTGCGACTAGCTGTGTATAATAGAATCAAATAGTATCAATTAATTTTTTTAGTCTTCAATTCAAAAGTATTTGAAAATTTATATTTAATATTAATATTTATGTTATAACAATTATAATTATTTTCATTTTAGATATATCATTATATATTATAGTTTGAAGTATAATTAATTACACTCGCTATACACACACACATATACTTTTGTAGAAAAAGGGATTATAAATTCATAGTTTATAATTTATAGAAAAATTTAACATTTATCTCCAAAATTAACTCCAAAATATATAAACATATATTTTATATATTTACATATATTTATAATCATATAATCATAAAGATTTCACAGTCAAAATATTCATACTGTGACTATAAATGAAAATATAAAAACACTAATCAAACAGTATATGCAAAAGGGAATGGTATGCAGATTTATATTATCATAGCATTAGATTAAAATAACTAATTTTTATTTTATATCAAAACACAATATTGAACTGAAGTAAATTCACCTTTTCTTTATAGAGTTATATATAACTCTATAAAAGAACAATTAACATAAATACAAGAGTATGATTTAAAGAAAAGGATTTAATTAAAAATGTCTATATTATATTAATGCCCAAAAGCATGGATTCAATTTGTGGAATTATATATAATGTTAGTCATATTATTAGCATGGAAATAATAAAAAAAGAATATTAATCACATTCTAATTTAATTATTATTTTATTTGAATTTAGTTATTTTAATTATTATAATGTAATAATTGTATATAATTAAAACTATTATCAGAACTTATATATAAAACGCAAACTAATATTGATTAAATATTAACCTAATAAGTATAAATTAAATCGCTTATTTATCTTTTCTTTAGAGAAATAATAATAGAAAGCATACTATATCATTTAATAATGACTAGAAAACGCACTTTTTTTGGATAATAATAAATTACCTTCACCTCATGATGTGTATAACAAAATGTTTTTCTATTCGCTTTGATCCCAAACCTTCTTGAATTTGTTAAAAGTTCAATGGTACTTAAGTCAAATCAATATTCAGTATCTATTACATAATTAATCATTCATTCATTATTATTTATATTTACAGTTCTTAATTACTATAACTAACGATTTTCTTTTATGAATATTTACGCAAAACGCAAGTATTTTTTTCAATACGTTTGAATAATATTTGATGTGATTGAACAGCATAAAGTACAAATTTTTATTGTCAAACATTTATATTTGTAACATATATTTATTTTTATAAATATCAATATGGGATTGATATTCATAAAATTAATTAAAATATTAATAACTTAAATGTTAAATATTTTTTAACTTTTTTTCGGTAAAGTCAAACTTCGGACAATTTCAGCATTCGACTAGCTCACACACTCAGTTACGTCGCGTTTGAAGGCGGCTTTATTAAAGATAAAGACAAACTAAATATACAAATCTTAAAATTAGTTTAAATGTATATATCTTCGAACTTTAAATTGTGAGAAAAAACGTATATATTCAAAATTTTAATTTGCTTGATTTTGAAATAATAATATAGCTAGAAGAATGTAATTATATACATACACATATTTTTAAGCTGCTATATCGTGGGCAATTTTTTGAAAAGAGCGGAGTATTAATTTAACATTTTTATCATTATACGGCTTGGTATGGTACTATAAATTGAGATACATTAAAATTAAAAATATTTTATGTTGATATGAAACTTAGTGACATGTATTTTGTTCATGAATAATGTATCTTTGAATGTAAAAATCTTTCTAAAAAATTTAAATAATATAACATATATATTAAATTTAATGATTAAAATGTATTTTCTATTTTTAAAACTTTAATTAATTTGATATTACTTTTGCGATTATATTTCATTTTTAATCTGTATAATATTTTTGCATTTATACATGGCATTTCTATACCATATATATTACACTTTCGATTATTTTTCGTTAAATTATAAAAATTCGTCTGTTTTCGTTTCGACATTTACGTTGATCTTAAAATTCTAAATGATACTTATTAACTTATATTTATCATGTTAAAATTAATATTATTGTATTCTCTAAATGGTCCCTATTAGGAAAATATATTTGGAATAGTATATCTCATAGCACCTTTCAATTTTTCAAAAACTTTAATGTCTTTTTCGCTATCAAAAAATATATACAGTATTTTATTGAAATTCAAAAAATTGTAAAAAATTATTAAAGAAATCTCATAATAGCTAAATTTTTATAAATATTTTACAAATATTATTTTTTGTAAAACTTTCATATAGAGTATTTTTTTGTATTAAATAATTATAAATTTGATTGATGTATTAGAAACTTGGAGTCTTATAAACATATATATAATTAATAGTATTTAATTTTTTTAATTTAAAAGAAGGAAATACAACAAGAACAAATATCAGTATTTGTTATTGATGTATTTAAAATTTAATAACAATAATTATGTGAACAAAATATGAGTTTGATAAAAAATGTTACGTCTTATTCATTCATTTAAACAAACGCAAATACAACAAAAATCTAAACAGTCTTTACTTTGATATTGATTAAATCGAATCGAAATAATTACAACGAAAATTGTTTACCATTCCAATTTCTTATTGTTATTTAAGACTTTACTGTCTATAAACTTAGAAAAGAGATACAGAATGTTCTTCTAGGTACAACCAAATGTATAATTATTGATACATCTAAAAAACAAAGTATTTATTTTTTGCGTGATAGAATATTTTTTCAGTTTTCCATCGTTAATATAAACATCAGTATTAATTCTTTTGTCGATACTAAGTTAAGCTATTGCTATATTAAGCGTCATTGATTCAGGTTTCGAGAATGGCAATACTGTAGTAGGATTATTGAAACGAAAAGACTGACTACTCTGCTGTAATTGTTGCTGTGTCTGATGAAATAACATTGTTCTCTCATTGTACTTAGTTAAATGCTTTGGATTAGGTGATATAACAGACGTCCGTATGACCATTCTCGAAAGCAGACTTTCATTCTGTTGGGTTTTACAGTCCATTATTTCTTTAGTTGTACAAATCAATCCTTTTGGTACAAGATCATTATCTATTCTATCAGGAGCCATTCTCGTGTGTTCGATGATAGCTGAAAAAATTGAATTGGGATGTGCCTGTTGTTCTTTTAATGGTATTAAGTTACGAGAATTACGTGGGGGAACTATAACGCTTATAGGTAAATTGGTTCGCTGATCACTGGTTGCGTTAATGCTGTTGGACGATATTTTAATAGTGGAAAGTTGATTCAATGAAGTGGGATTAATAGATATTTCGCGTTTATCACGTTGCTGATGGTGATGCGCTCGCATGCAGGAGGACTCCTCGTGCTTGTAAAGATATGACTTAAGAGCAAAGGCTTTGCCACAGCGAGAACAAATATGAGGCTTTGTATTTGAGTGGGTTTGAATGTGGGCTCGGAGATTGGATTTATCTGCGAAAGCTTTATCGCAAATCGTGCATTTAAACGGCTTTTCACCTTTAAAATCAGGAATTATTATTAATATAAATTAAAAATCGATACAACTAATTTAAACAAAATATATTGCTACAATTAATTGTTTACAAAATATTATAAAAATTTATAATAATATATAAAATAAAAAGAAATATGATCAATCATTTATTTCAATAATAAATTTATTTCAATAATAATAATATTTTGAATAATCATATATTGAACGAACTAATTAAAATTTTTTATATTTTAAAAACATTACATTTTAAAACGAATATTGAATAGCCTCACCTGTATGGGTACGAATATGACCCTGTAAAAGCCAAGGCCTAGAAAAGCACTTGCCACAGTAATGACATTTGCAACCTTGATTATGAGTTCTCATGTGCATACTAAAGGCTGGAATACTAACATAAACCTTATCGCAATGGGGGCAGCGACGCGCTTTCTTGTCACCTAACGATCGATGAGTTTGACGATGACGGGCGAGATTGGAGGAGGTTGAATATTTCTTGCCGCAATCTGGACATTCATGTTCCTCAGTACTATCTTGCTGTTCAGTTCTCATAAAGCTGATCTTACTATCGGTAGATGCCATTGTCGTTGTTAATCTCATTGTCGTTTCCATAGGAGAACTACCATTGGCCTGTAAATAGAATTTCATTCATTTTCATTTCATTCATTCGTTTAAATTATATGATTAAGTTTCTTTATACATACTTGGATAATAAAACGTTTAAAATTCTAGTAATTTAATATGTAAAAAATTAATATGATAAAAACTTATTTAAAAAAAGAGGGCCATCATTATTACTGTCGCTAATAACTGAAGATACATTACCGAAAGATACTAGATAAGATAAGATAATTTGAAAAACTAATATTTTTTTATTAAATCGAATTTTTATGAAATCTAAATAAGAATTGGTAGTTTTTATTCCGATTGTATCACTTATGACCTATAACTGAATCAAACTTTATTTTCACACTGGTACTTTTAGGATTGATAAATAATGATTCGTGATGGTTCATAATTCGGCAAAAAGAACTTACTTTGAGCTGTACAGTGTAACGTTTGGTCTCCAGTAGAGTTTCATCCCTGATTCTTCTAGGTTCAAGCTGAAGGAGACTTTCACGTTTAGAGTTAATCCGTCCGAAGAAAAGTCGCGTGGTGTCGGTTTTATGTAAACTGCTCGTAGTTGGGTGCACGAGGGTGCCAGCGGCTGCGGCTAGACTTACCTCGGCGAGTTTTGTAAGATTGTAGAGCTCTTCAGGACACTCGCTAGAATTTTCACTGTTACATTCGCTCGCACCGTCAGATGTCTGCTGTTGGCCACCACCATACTCTGCTAACTGTAGTCCTCGTTCAGGGCTGCATTCTATAATACATAGTGTGAATATTCCTCTCATTTCAATATTTATATAAAATATTTCTTTATAAATATTTTAAGAATCATCCTTTTCTTGCATTTCACAAATGTTTATTTTAATCAAATTTGCACATTATCTTTTATAAATATTGTATTCTATTAATGATTACTAAAAACTAAAAGCATTTTAATCAATGGATTTCTCTATTATCATGTCTATTTAATAATATTAAATGCATTAAAAGAATAAAATTTGTTTATAATATATTATAATAAATAATAAATTACAATAAAATTTAATGAGATTTTATAATAAAATTTTATAATATATTATAATAAATCACCATTACTAGTAGTAAAATGCTCGTGTTCATGTTTTTAATTATTTTAAAATAAATTGACTGAAATAGTAATATTTTTAAATATATTTAGGATAATAGAAAAATATACATACATAAAGTATTATAGTCTTTAAATATCATATGAAATATCATATGCCAAATAACCTTTCATTTTTAATTTGCATCAAATAGATTTTTAAAAAATTTATAGAATATTTTATCATTGAAATCTTTTTAATATTTAGTTTATGACCAGACTAATTTTATTAATTTTTATCGCTATCTATTAAATTCTAACAGGTTTTTTTATTGATTTATTTAAATAATTTTAGATCATATTCCAATATTAAATATATTTTTTAAATTTGATAGAAATTGTAAAGTTAAAAATAAAGTTTCTATACAATGTAATCATAATTTTTAAAAATTAACTTTTAGTAATACAATTTTAAAAAGGAATAATATCAGATAAACAAATTAATCATGTCTAATTAAAAGATGATTATTACAGTACAATTATTTTATTTCAAATAATTTTATAGACTATTTCATTATATAATTCTGAAATATTTGAAATAACATTTACGTATTCCTTAGATTATTGCTAAATATTTGTTGATATTTAATAAATATTCCAGAAAAATCTAAAAAAGATTCTTGATATTTATTACAAATAAGTATTTTAATCGGTACAGATTACATTCTTGAATACGTGCATAAATTTCATTATACTCTAATGTAATTATATATAGAGTTAGGAAAATATGTTTCGATTACAATGTAACTGTTACGTAAAGAATATAAAGGAAAAGAATACTGTGCAATAACAAAATAGATGTTTAACATTAAATAAACATTAAATTGTATCAATTTAAAAAAAAAATAGTATGATCAACTTATATATTTGTACATTTTATCTGAAATAATATTATAAACATTTTCTTAGTACTTAAGATTAAAGAGTAAATAATGTTTTTATTGGATTTTTTTTTTATTTGGTTTCAATGTCATAGCTATAACTATATATAATTTCAATAATCTAAATAGACTGAGCACAAGTTTTATTATGTAGTAAAAATATATATCTCTTATATAATTTTATTTACTATATATATATGTTTATCTCGATAGCTATAACTGTTTTTCAGTATTATAAATAAGTAAATCAAATCATTTTAACGTTTGTTTTTTTAACAATTGCAAATCGGATTGATCTTCAAAAATAAGTGCAAATTATAACTAAAACTAATACATTATTTATGTATAAAATCAAAGAAAATATATACTTTGATAGATATTAAAATATTAAATATATTTTGATATTGAATACATTCTTTTACAATATATATGAATAGATATATCCATAAATATTTATATATTTTAGTATAAACTGTGTAAAATTATCAATTCTTTGATAAGGTATATATAATACTTTAAGACTTTATAATTAATAAAAAATAGCATAACAACTAGTAGATTTTATTAATAATATTGGTCAGATATTATTTTTACTTACTCTTATTGTTTAATTTTTACAAATTATATACGTTAAATTAAATAAATGGAAACTATTTTCGTTTTGTCATAACTCAAAAAAAAAAAATTTTGAAATAGATTATAAAATATTAGTTATGTTTTCATAATAATATTTTAGGATTAATAAAATATTAATTGTTTATATCAAAATTATATGAAAACTATTTTTCAATTCATATTAAATTTTAATATGTTTAATATTTAATACAGAGCCATGGTGAACTTCATGGTGATTTGATGATATATTTAGAGTCTAAATTTTTTTAAAAATACAATAAGAATAGATATTGCAGCAAGATTTTATGAAGATGTTTTTCATTGGTATTTGTATTTAAGATTAACACAAAATATTAAACATAAAATTTTATAGATACATATAGTTTAATAAATTATTGAACAGTCACTTGTTTTATGAAAATATGGTTGCAATATTATTTTAAAACAAATAATGTTTGTCGTGTAACTTTTTATTTTATATTTATAGTATGCAAATGGTGATATAACACTTGAGTTTTCATTTTTCTGAAATAGAAGTAAAAAATTAATTAAATGAAATAGGAAGATACTTAAAAGTCAACTTTAGTAGCAAAAAATTATCTTTCTGTAATATTTAAGAAACACTTTTTTAAATATCGAATTTTATATTGAAAGTATATTGTGTGTATGTGCTTTTAGTGCCTGTGCTATTTTTAAGTGATTCCCGAGCTCCGCCGATAACTTTCATAATCCAAGTAAGCCAAAGGGGACCTAGGAGTTGTCGACTTAAGAAAGACGAGACACATGCCTAAAATATCACGAAAATTAAAGGGTGCCGAAATTCGGATGGTGCCTTCTCTCGCATTTATGGTAGAAACTGACGAAAACGCGTTCCAATACTCTTCATTCAGTAGGATCGGAAATAGACGCGTGCACATGCACTTGCTTACGTTATGCCTGTGTGTATGGATATTATAGTATAGGGGTTTGAATTGTTTTGCCGTGTTTAAACGACTGTTTTTACTAATCTAATATAACTTTAGATCGTTTTGCACATTTGTATAAACAGATCTTAGTAATGAATAGAATTACAATATTGTGAAAATATAAATGTATAAATTTGCGTAATTCAAATGGATTTTCATTTTTTGGTCGATGAAAACTCGATGAAAAGTAGAATTGAAATTTCTTTTAATTAGTAGTACATTAATAATAGATTAATATATTCATAAAATAGAACAAACTCTTACATAATAAATATGAGAAAAATGTTTTGATTTTATTGAATAAAATAGAAAAATATTTTAAAGAAAATATTTGGCTAACTATTAATAATAATAAAATTATATTTTTTCAATAATAATAATTCTTTAGTTAATCGATAAATAACGATTATTCGTGAATTAACTTTTTTTTGTATAAATAAAAATATAATATCTTTAGTTAATTATTCGAACTAATATGTTAAGAATTAAATAATAATATAAGAATTTGCATAAACAATATTTATACAGATTTTTAAAATTTACGTTAAATATATAATTTATTAACTTCTAAATTTACATACTTAGTATAAAAAATATAAATTTACTAATTTAATGTATTATTATAATTATTTATTCTATATTGATCGTATACTTTTAAATGTTTTGAAGATTTTGTAAATTGTTTCCTCAAACTCCAAATATTTTAAGATAATTTTTAACAAAATTTAAAGCAATGGAGAATGTTTCCTGGACTTTATTTTTCATCTTTTCATACCTTTCAAATTTCATACGTTTCTATTTTTTCTGAGCTCAACAACTTTTTCATATTAATTAAAGTATAAATAGTTTTAATGTATCGTTATAGAAACTTTTATATTTTTAATTAACATTAAAACATTAAAAACATTAAATAAAAATTATTTTTAATTAAATGTTTTGTGGCTGAAACAGTCTCAATAATAATAGCATTAATAAAGATTTTTAAGTAAATGGCTTTTAATGATAGTATTTTAAAGTAAATATTTACTTTTTACATTGTTTATATATTAGTGTTTATATAATATGAATGTATAATTTATTTTTGAACTTTTTATACTTTTTAAATTTTGTTAAAAAATTATGTAATCAAATACTTTGACATGTTTAATTTTTTTTATTTAATATCCTTTTTTTTTTTTTTTTTTTTTGTTAAGGTACTATACCAAAATATTAAATATATTTGCGTATTTTAAAAGTAAATTGAGAAAGTAAATTGAAAAAGAGTAAATTGTACATTAAAATTAAAATTACCTATTTAATAAATGCATGTATTTCATAGGTGATGATAATTTAAGTGCTTTATATATTTTATAATTAATAAAATAGTGAAGTTTTAACAGACCGTTTTCAATGGTATTTCTAGGAATTTACAGTCATAAGGATATGTCTTAAGGGTATAAGTACAATGAATAGAAATCTCACCCCAACCAATTTCCTCGAACTCACCGGTGCTATCAAACCGATGCCTAGTGATAAGGAAAGCTCTCGGCATGTTTATGTTTCTTCTGGTATCAGTCAACCTATTCCTGCTTCTGCTTTGTATGCTTTTTCCTGCCCCCTCCCCTTCCACCCTCTCAATTGCTCATACTACTCATAAAGTTTCTACACTCTTTTCATTCCACTAAGGTTGCATTCTTGGGACTGTAGAGAAGCATCAGTTTAGTTTTCGTGTAAAATTCAAATATCCATTCGCAGCTTGTATTCTCTTAATGACGTCATTCACTAGACTCTAGGCGAGAACAAGGGAACGAAATGCGAGCGTTTATACCGATTCGTACGCGACGCGTGCTTCAAGCGCAGTGGTAGCGGTGCCGGTGATCGGGGCTACATATAGCTCACTCAAGCAGGAGGCAGCATCCGTTCACCCCACCCCGGGATTTTTCATCGCCGCCCCGTCGTCGTCATTACTAACAGACGCAGAGAGTTTCGTCTTTCTCGGCTTGCTATCTCTACCCTGAATTCCGGCACGCGTTCATAGGACCACGTGAGTTTTATCTGTGATGTCCGATTTTTCAGTGACAGATAATCCGTTTTGAGCCTGATCAATTCATGTATTGGTTCACAATGACTTAGATAAAATCTAATAATTATAATAAAATAGATTCTGAATTAGTATTCATAATTATTAGTACTGTTTGGAAAAGCATGCTTTGTGGCTTACAGGAGATGAGTAGTTTTATTCTAATGTATAAGTTCATGTGAATACATTGTGATTATACGATATACAGAAATTTAAAGGTTTCAATTAGAGTAATTCAACGTTTTCTCTCCCTCTTATTCTCACAATTTTTAAATCATTACATATTATATCATAATCACATCTACAATATACAAATTTTTTTTAGTACAAATAAATAATAAAAAATTTGTATTACTTTAATTCATATGTTATTTAACTTAATTCGTTTTTTTTTAAATTTATTTTCAGGAAATTTTCATTATTAAACAGTATTTTCAAAGATTGCAAATACCATAAAATAATAATTAGCTGAATTTAGATGCCTTACAATAACTACATAACATATAACTAAATGGTTAAAAATATAACAAATATATTTACTATATTTTTTTAATATTTATTATACTTTATGAATATTTATTATACTTTTTGAATATTTACTATACTATTTGAATATTTACTATGCTTTTTGAATAGTATTAATAAATATTACTCTATTTCATTTATATTTTAATAATTATTTAAATAAGTGTTCATTTTAAATGTGTGTTTTAATAAATTAAATTGGTAACTTTTTAAAAATAATTTAAATAGTTTAAAATAATTTGAATTAAATTTTTATATTTCTATATTAATAATATCTATTAAGAAAAATAATCAGAAGAATAAATTAAACTTTAATAAAAGTAAATTTCATATTATTATTTTAAATAAATAGTTTACTAATGAAATAAAAATGTACGTTATAAAAAAGTTCAATTAGAAACTTTTTAATATGTGCATATATTTGCATGTATCATGAATATTGACAAAAACCAAAAAGATAAGATCTATATACAATTGTCGGATGTGTCATGCAATTCTTGTTATAAAAAATTAAATTAAATAAATAAAAAAACAAATTAGATAATTAGATACACTGTGAGCTTAAACTTTATAAAATTCTTAAACAATCTATCACTCTATTTGCATATGCAGATACAGATTGGACAAAAAATCAACTAATGAAAAATTGAATAATGGTTGTAAATTATATTGAAAAATTTTTCAATATAAAATAAAATAAAAAACATGTGCTACCGTAAGCAATTAAATATTTTAATAAGAGCAATTGAAACATGTCTTATATCATTAACAGAAACCTTTCAAGAAATTTTACCGATTAAAAAATTATTAAAAGATTTTTTTAATAAATATGAGATTATAATTGTAGTACACAAAACAATAAAACCATCAGAAGCTTCTAAGTAATAATGATTATAATACTAAGCAAAATAATATTCAAATAAATTAGAATACTGCATAATGTATCAATTATATTATTAATAAAGACTATCCGAATATATCGATATACATACGAGCCCCATTGTTCGTATCTAAAAACATATTCGTTCTAGCCGCAATAAAAACATTTTTATCTGGTCTTTACAACAGTAATTCATTATTACTAATTCATCAATAAAATTAAGAAAAGCTGGAAAGAATATTTATTAACGGATTGTATTTTTTAATTATTATCTTTCTATTATTAATAAAATTGTTTTATTCCTGGTTATTCCAGATTTTACTTTATTCTTTATAATTACTAGTCATCTAGATTAGCAAAAACTATGCTATATCTATACATTGAATTAAATAGGAAGCTCTAATCATTTCTTCTAAATAACAAATAACGAAATTTTTAAATTTGGACTAATTTACCAAAATGCTAGAAAGTACATAAGATTTCGAATATTGATTAGTATCCTAATTGAATAAAATATATCAATGAATCGATAATATTGCAAACTAATTTCATTCTTGCAAAATTTGATATTTTTTCCAAGTAGTAAGTGAATTTACTTTTAGAAACAATATAAGAATTATTTTAATCTATAATAAAGCTTAATTTACAATTTACTAATAAAATATGTTATAATCATTTAATATAAAAGTAATTAAAAATTATTTACTTATTTATTTGCCATTTAATTATTTATAAGTAATTACCTAATATTTATAAAATAAAATTATAATTATATGTACTTACAATTTGTTTTCATCTTCCAACTAAGAATTTAGTAAAGTTAATATTTCAATGAATGTATAAATAAGGAAATAAATATATATACATATATCAATGTAGTACTACATTTAATTTTATACCAGTTCGTTTATAATTTAATATTATTATTCAGAAATGTAACAAATTTTGTATTTAAACACTTCATTTAGGATAAATTTGTATTTTTCTTTACTAAGTAAGTTATTAAATATTTTATTCTAGTAATTAGTATTTTATGTATTATTTTCAGACAATAATATTAGATATAAATATTATTAAATTTGTATGGACATTATTTACAATTTAATTATTATTTATTTAATTTAACAATTTTTGTAAATCCATATTAATAAATAACTTTATAATAATAATATTAAATTTAATTATCTAACAGATAAAAAATTTACTTATTGAAAAAATGCAATATTTGTTTATTTTTATTAAAAAAAAATAATAGGATAAAGAAGAAATATTCTATCACATAACGTTCTTTTATCTACAAATAAAATATTTATTATTGTTAGGAATAGATATAAAAAATTATTAATACACTTTCATGTTGAAAATATATTTTTTTAAATAAATATACAATTAATATCAATAAATATTTGAATCATAAAATACTCTTGCATTATTAAAAAATTAAAATTGATACTTTAAAATGTAAATATAAGAGATTCATTGATGAAAATAATTGATAATTGATCAAATTTTTGACATCTCTCTTCTTTTTAAAATTTATATAATAATAAGTAATACCGATACTATAAGATTTTGACCATTTATTGAAATATTCTTGCAGAATTTTGTTACTATAAAATAAACTGTGAACAAATTAATTTATTAATATATCCTTATTAGTTTTAATTGTATTGTTTAAATTATAGCTATATCTAATTACTGTATAGTTACATAAATAATAAAAATAAATATTGGTAACATACAGCGGTCTGTGTCGAAGCGCGTGTATATCGATTGGGAACATCAATTGGGATGCTGCGAGAAGAGTATGGCACCCGCTAAAGCTGAGGAGAGCCCAATGAATATATACTCGGTGTGGTGGGTAATACTAGCATGTGAATGGTTGAATGAATACTTCATGGCTTAGTCAGCTCGCGATGCTAAATTTGACTGGTCCGTTCGACGCCTGGCAACTCGCCAGCACACTAAGAACCACCATCTAGTGGTGGTCTTTTCACCACCAACCTGCTTCTTTTTAATTTTTTTCTCTATTGAATTCCTTCAATACCCATAGATTCCTTTGTGTTTTTTATATAAGTAATTTATTTACGTGGATTGCATCTGTATTAATTTGATCGTACAAAGTATGGGAGTGATTTGATAATATAGTATATGATATAAATAAAATTTTAATGTAATGCATGCACAGTCGTGTTACTGTATGACAAACTTATTACATTTGCCCAATTTCATTTATTATAAGTTTATTGAAATTTAAAATTTAAAATCTAGACAGTTTTATTATATTTAAAAAAGCTACTCTTTTTTTTTTTAATATACCCATGATGGAATAAAATAATGTATTCCTTGTGCAACTGATATTCTATTTTACAAAAATAATACTTTCAAAGACATAAAAAAAATTCATTATTTTATATGAATTTAAAAGTTTATGTATATATTTCCATTTTGTATTTATATTTCCATGAAAACATTTTTTAGAACTTTTACTAAATATTAGTACTTACTTTATTTGAACATTAATGAGCTAGTACGAATTGAATATTAGCCAATTAATAAGACTTATTAGATAAGAATTTGTATGTATTTGGATATTCATGTGCGGGTTCAGAAGAATATGACATATGTATGTTTAAAGTATATTTAGTTTGATTATTATATTGACTTAATTAGTTAACTACACAATCTATGATTAAGATTATTTTGATAAACAGTTATTTATATATTGCAGAAATAAAGAAAGGAAAAGTAAAAAAAATGTAGCAAAAACGTAGAAACGTAGAAATAAATTATAAACTATAGTCATTATTACTACTATTTTTGTAAATGGAAAAATATTTATAAATTCCTTTTATGATGTACATTAAAAAATGTAAGTATATCAAGAAGAACTGTTATTTATAATTTTTTTTTCATAATTATTTAAACATTTCTTAAATTTATTTTAGTAGTTTGAATGAATAAATCATAATATATAACATTCTCATAATATATAAATGTGTATAATTTAACACTTATACAGAGTTAAGAATATAAGGTAGCCAACAATTTTTTGATCCACCAAATTTCAATTAATGGTTGATGTACATTAAAAAAATTGCATTAAGCATTAAATTAGTATTAATTAAAATATAAATTTTAAGCTATTCTGTTATTACATGATTAAATATTTATAATTAAACAAAATAATCTTTTATAATGAAACAGTCGATTATTATACAGTATCAAATTAATATAAAATAATTCAATTTCTGTTAAATTATATACATTTTATAGTCCGCTCTTACTGAAATTCATGCTTTATATTATTTAAATTGAACCTAAAAAAATTACTAAAAATACTTTTTATAACTTTAAAAAAAAATTCTTATTTGTAAATAGAGCCAAAAAAGAATAATTTAATAATATAATTATTTAAAACTT